TAGAAGAGGCAAAGCGTTATGCTGCAAGCCCTTGGAATCTCAACAACATAGCTGTCTTAGATAGGTGAGTACTGTAGTTGCTCCCCTCATTCATTCTTGAACACTTTTAAATGTTAGTTTGAATTTACGCACGTTTTGAATAATATCACCCTAATGTATTTAGTTCACTTTTTGAATATAGTTTTTATTTTCTTGACAGGTCCATATTGCGCTTCATCAAGGGTAATATTGACGGTATGAAAATTCCATGGTGCTATGTTGGAATGGTATTTTCTAGCTTCTGCTGGCACATCGAGGACCATTGGAGCTATGCTATTAACTTTTTGCACTGGTATTCTTTGTTTTACTAGATTCCTGAATGACACTTATATTTACCCCTATAATGCTGTGTTTATTTTTAGGGGTGAGCCCAAGACCTGGTACGGCGTATCCAGTCTTCATGCCAATGACTTTGAGCGTGCAATGCGCAAGCAGGCTTCTGAGCTTTTTGATCAATCTCCAGATCTCCTACATCACATTACTACCATAATGAATCCTAATATTTTACAAGCTGAGGGCGTGCCGGTTTATCGCACTGACCAGAAATGTGGCGAATTTGTGGTAGCATTTCCACGAGCTTACCATTCTGGATTCAATCAAGGTTTTAACTTTGCGGAAGCCGTCAACTTTTGCCTCCCTGATTGGGTAAACTATTTTTTTCTAATTTTGATGAATAAAAATGTATACTTTATCCGTTTCAGATATTTAATTTCCTAAAAACATTTAGTTATTTTTCGTGTATAAGCAGAGTTTCGAGATTACAAGTAAATCAATATGAGATGTATTCATTATATTTCGTTTAAGGTTATAAAGGACTGGTAGTAGAATTTCCCCACAATTATATGAATCGAGCCGACATTTCCATTGAATTTCATATAGCCTTGTTTTCCCTAAAGTTGTTCTCATCCAGAGTGGACCACAGTTTCAACCTCCCCTAGGTCTTATCAACACCTACTAGTGAAAGTCAAGCTCACAGGCTGCATTGTCACGGTTCGACTCCCACTGAGGGTGTTGATAAGGCATAGGCGAGGTCGAAACTGCAGTCCACCCTGAATGAGAATAACTTTTGGGAGGGCTGTGTGTAATTAAACGGAAACGTCAGCTATACTCATATCATTTTGGAAGAATTCTATTACCAGTCCTTCATCACCTTAAACGAAATAGGATGAATACATCCCATATAACTTAGTTTTTTTGCCCAAAACGAGGACTATATTGAAAGTATCGATTTGGCACATTTCGTCGGCAGGTCTTTCGTATGCCAGTCTCACTTTCCCTATTGTTTCTATTTTGCTGGGACTCTTAGGACGACCCTCCTTCGATTCAAATGAAAACTTGTCTGACTTCATTTTATCCATTGGCAGATGTCATAAAGCTGGGCATCATTCTTAAACGAACTTAAAGTTATATAAAGCCATTAAATGTAGTTTTAATCTTAACTAATGGAAGGTTATCTGAGCACTGCGTTGTCTGGTCGTTTAGTACAATCAAGCAACAGCATACAAAGTAGAATCCATCGTCATCTAGTGAAATCGACCTATGATTCTATTCATCGCAAGTTTTCTTACAAAATCAAAGTCGGCCAACACTGATATATCAGG